TGGGCACCCTCACAGGGAACAATTCCTTCCTGACATCCAATCTAAACCTGCCCTCTGTCAGTTTGAAGCCATTCCCCCTTGTCCTGTCACTCCAGGCCCTCTCCAGCTTACTTCAGATACTGGAAGGGGCTCTGAGCTTTCCAGACAACCTTCTCTTCTCCAGGCTGAACATCCCCAACTCCCTCACCCTGTCTCCAAATGGGAGATTCTCCAGTCCCCTTATCACCCACATGGCTTACCTGGGAGGTGTAGGAAATGTCTTCTCCTACTGGTGCATTGTCCCCTTCCCTAAAACCTAAATTCTTTTGGGGAATGAGTAGAGAACAGAACAGAAGAATCTTATCAGCACACTGGTGACTGATGAGTTAGAATAAAATTCTCTTTTAGACAAATGTCCATTTTGCCTTATTAATTTAAACAAGGATTTTAAAGACAAAGCCCATCAAACATTAGATAAGCCTTTTAAGTTAATGGACCATGTAGTCCTATTTTTCCCACAAACTCAGGAATCTTCATATTATGTCCTATTTTTACAGCAACATCAATTATTAATATGTATACTTTTGCTGACAGAGGACCACACTAAAAATGTGAGTTTCGTTATCCAGTTCTGGGTCATTAACTGTGAAAAGCTTGTAAATATAATGGTTTATTCACATGGGAAGCCTTCATTAAGATGCATTATTCTACAACTGATGTGGCAGCATTGCATTATCAAGTTCACTGTCTCCATCTAATATTTGTAATTTGTTTCTAAATGAGTTGCGGTTTGTAGGGCAAGTTAACAAATTTGAATTTCACATGGCCAGAGAAATTTCTTAAAGATGGGAAAATGCTTCTTCCCCTAAGGAAAAGCTATTTATTAGCATCTTCCTGGAGAATGCCTCCCTTTGATTCAGAAGCAGGAACATTAGAGGCGCTGAGAGAAGGGATGTTAGAAATAAATTGGCTTTTGTCTTCCCTCCATGCACATTAGAGGGCTATGGAAGCACACTCAGGATAACCTCAGAGCTCCACAAAAGCCATGTGGAAACATGGAAAGCTCTTCCATGGTTCTGTAAGGCATAGGCTGGCCAGCAGGGAAGCATTCCTGCTGGAGCTGTTGGAATTCATCCTCTCTCTTGGCAGTCTCCAGCCATTTCACTTCCTATTCCCTCTTGCATCTTCAGATGGCCAAAGCTTTTTTAGACCCATTTTCTTCTGAGTTCTGCTCCTTGACAAGAGAACAGAACCTCCAGCAGGGCTGTTGGAGAGATTCTGTCTCCTTTTGTCTCCTTCTGAAGGCCCATGAGCACCTGAAGATAAACACAAGGTTGTGCAGTTCCTCATTCCTGAGACAAGTGTTAGGAATGTGTTAAACTCTAAAGCTGGTGAGGTTTAGGGTGACACATACTTCTGTGATTAGGTCAAGAACACTGTGGACAAAATAAAACAAGTTTAACAGAGCAGCTTTCTTCAGCTGCAAAGCTGGAAGGAATCACCTATGCTATTCATAGCTTATTTTCTTTTTTTCAAATGTTTTAATAGTCTAAAACATTTTATAACATCATTTAGTCCACAGAAGAAAAGCATTTTCTATGAAAATTCTTGACAAATGGTAAAGAACAGTTCCATCCTCTGGACATCTTGTTACATCTCTTCAGCAGCTCCTGCTGCTCCAGTATCTATATTTAGGTTATGTTGCTAAATTCCCTTCCACACTTAGGTTTGTCTACTTTATCTTCTTATTCCCTCCCTACTTTATCAATTAATTCACTTCCTTGAGTAGCCACACTCTTGGGTCTGTTCTTATAGTCCAAGGAAGCTGTTTTTAAGATATTTAACAATCAAATGCCCATGGTGTGACGTCCTGGCCGCTTTTCTCCTCCTCCTCTCCCAGAACAGGAGCCAGCCTTACGTTCCTGCCACGTGCTGGCCTCCTGCTCTTCCCCCATGAACAGGGCACGCTGTGTCTGTTCCACATTAGCCAGATGCTCCATTTATCACAGCCAGCTGTGCTCTTCATCTCCTGCACCCCTCGCCCACTGCAGCTGGAGCACGTTGCTGCCAAACAAGAAAGCAGGAGGAGAATACAGCCTTAGCGACTTGCCCTGTTCTCTTTGATGCCTTTCTTTAGGGAGATATTGAAGGTGAATGGCTGGAGTCTTGTTCTAGAGGTAATTTTCATTCCTTCTGTTTTCTTGTTGTAAAACAGACTCTGGAAAAGAAAATAAAAAAAATTACAAAGAGTAAATACAACAGAGCTTCTCATAAGCTGTTCTACAGGTTTATGTCTGTACTTGAGCCTTGGTGCTGAGTACAGACATAAACTCCTGTTAGGAGATGTATTGATAACTGAATGGTGCTCAGACAGGGAGCTGCACAAATATTTACTCTGGGTCTTGCCAGGCAGCACATATCCCATGGCCTTGTGGTTATCTGAGCCAGCTGCTTCAGGGCTACCTGGATTGTGTCCACAGCAGCTGCATGACTGGGGCTCAAGTAGAGATATGGGCTGTAGGAAATCGCTTTTTGAGATAAGAATCTCCTGATCTTACACTGGCACCTCCCTGCCAGTTCACACAGCTCTCACCTGGGACTGGTGAAAGGGAGGCTGAATAAATTCACAGTGGGAGGAGCTGCTCATCCAAGGCTCCTTCAAGATGCGGTGGAGAACAGCTCAGAGGAGCTGCAAAGGTTCTGGGATGGCAGGGAAGGCTCTGCTGCCTGTGCTGGTGCTCCCACGTTGGTCTGGTCCCACTGGCCCTCAGCTGCTCCTTTGCTGGCTGATCCACCTTTTTACAGTGGGAAATGAGTAACTTGAGGAGGTGGGAGGAGAAGAAAAGACAAAATGGATTATTTTCCACTTTTTGAGGGAGCTGAACTGGCTCACTGCAGGGTCAGGTGAGTGCCAGAGCCTGAGCAGGAGAAGGGAGGGATGATGCACCCAGCAGTTCAATAAACTTCCCAGCACCAATAAACTGCTCTCATTTCACCTTTAAATGTTCAGGCTGTGCTGGAGAGGAGCCTTTCTCTCTCTCCATCAGCCACAGGTGAGCCTCCCTAAAGCTGCAGGTATCCTCATGCCCATCTGATGGGAATTTCTCAGGAATCCCCTGGGGATTGCTGTAGGGACACAAATAGAGGAGCTGGCTTTGGGTCTCAGTCTGGAAAACAGGCCTTGTTTTCTCTCTGGGCTCCTCTGGTTTTCCAAAGCAGCCCCTGAGAGAGCAGCATCACATCTGGCTGTCCTGGGCTTCATTTAACATCAGCAAGGCAGACAATGGTGAAACACAAATAAACACTGTTAATAGTAGCTGTGTTGTACTTATAAATAGGTGCTGGTGAGGGGGAAGATTGGAAACACTTGACTTCCCTGAAAACTGGGAATTGAGCAAAGGTAACATCTCAGGGTAAAAGGCAGCGCTTGGGGTCACATATTCAGGAAGGGAACATGTGCAGCCACCTTTCAAAACCACACTGCTGCTCTTATTTCCTCCTGAATATTTTCTCCCTGGTGGCCTTGACCGATTCCTGTAGCACAGTGTGAGTCACACATCCCAGATGCAGGGGAGGCAGTAAATTGCTTTCCTGAATGGGGCCTCTGTGCTTGCCTTGGATACTGTGGGATCCCTCTGGGTGCTCGCTGAAACCCAATTTGCTTGGCACTTATTAGTGATTTTTGGAACCTGGTGGAAGCATGGAAAACCAGGGAATAACAGATCTTAAATATGAGCTGGCCAAAGCTTTGACAGAGCTTTTTGTCTTCACGGGAGGCCTCTGGAATTGGGACTTGGAGCACACCAGAAAATACATCACCAGAGCAAGAAGAATGCATTACTGAATTAGTCTGAGATGTGCCAGTTAAGGACAACTTTTATATGCTCTGAGCATAGGGCCAGAGCAAAATTATATTCGTGTTTTTTTTCATGCAAACCAAGCTTTTGTTCACATATGCTGCCACCTATCTCAGTCACTAACTTTGAAAAGTAATAAAATCATAGAACAAAACCAGATTGTTGTATTTTCTCCTCTTTTCCTGTAATTTGCCATACACCATCAGACAATATGACTAATAATTCTCAAGTGCATGAAAAAAAAATAAATTGTTTTAGAATTTTTAAAAAAACAAACTTAAACCACAACCTAAAACCACAAATCTAGTTCACAAGTTAATTTTAAAATAGATTTTTTTCTACATTTACAAGGTAGCAATATCTCATAAAACACTGGGACCATCATAACTTTATCAATGATTGCAAAATGAAAAACACAAAGTTTCAGCCCACCCACACAGATGGGTTTTTTCATGCTTTTGTATTTGAATACCAGAAAGACTTTCATTTTTTCTCCCTCACACTACATATGTAAAATCAATCACAGAGTAGAAATTATTCTAAGACTTGAAACTGGCTGAGAAGCCCTTCTTTCCAAGGTTATCAAATCATGGGAAACTTTGTGAGCTGTGATTTTTGTTATATTGTTTGGGGGGTGTGTGGGGGGGTGTTTATTCCTTTTTGTTGTTGTTGCTCCTCAAGGGACGTTGATTTCCTAAAGGAATCTGACCAGCTGCTACAAAATACCAGGAAACCACTGACCAAGCAGTGCATATAAAAATTTCAGTGCACAAATTAAAAACAACACTGGCTAATTAAAAAGCATCAATGGGAAGTCCAGACATTTGCAAATTCAATTAAAAAATTCTCTGGCACCCTTCTGACATGGATAAAGCTGGCATTTGCAGAACAGCAGCTTTCTCACCTGTCTCATTGAGATGCTGGGATCCCACGCTGCAAAGGCTGTTTTTGTGCATTGCAATGTTGTTAATTAATGCTGAAATAGCAACAATAGGCCATTGTGTGCATCCAGGCACTCTTTATGAGCACAGGGGTTTGTGTTTTTTTTCCTGGCTTCCTGCAAGTAAATTAAGGCTTAAGCTCAGATTCACTGTCAACCTGGCATTCCAGTAAATATTAAGTTTCTTTTCATTCATACTTTTTATTTTCTCCTCTTGTTTTCAGAGCCTGCCTCCTGAATTGGAGGCAATAAGCAGTTTGCAGAAAGCAAATGTCCTGCAAGGTGAAGTCCAGGAAAGAGAGGACTTAGACTTCAGGCCAGAGCTGAGGAAAACAGAGGGGCCCCACATCAAGGAAACCCTCCAGGACCAGATCACCCAGTGCTTCCTCGAGTGCCGGTGAGCAGAAACACTTACCTCTTAATCCGTCCATTTGCCTCAAAGAGCCTGATTTTGAGTTCCTATAAACTGCAAAATCCATCTTTAAGGCAGTGGTGCCAGTCCCAGAGGAGGAGTGAGTTCTGCAAAGCCCAAATCCTGAGCTGGAGGATTCCTGACCGGGGGGACCAGGGCAGGCATTGCTCCAGGCAGGGGTCAGAGGTGCTACTGCAGTCCCTGGCTGGGGGTCAGCCCCACACACATTCCAGTGGGACACCTTCACTTTGCACATTACCTTGGGCTCAGTCTTTGGAATTATAAGCAGCACACTCCCAACCTGAGGAGCAGTGACTTTTCTCCCTGTCTGAATAGATAAGGTTTAAGAGAGAGAACTCACTCTTCCATGAGATGGAAGTACCATTATTTGCCATAGCAAATCACATCACGTCACTGGGGCTGCCATCCTGCTGCTGGTATTATCCAGCAGCCCACATGAATCTGAAGCACTTTTGTTCTTGAGGCCTGACCTTCAAGGCACTCCTCCAAATGTAACTTTACTGGAGCAGGGCTGCTGATCTCAGTGAAACTTCACGTCTCAGTAGAGTTAAGCACATACTTACACACTTTTAAACCCAGTGCTGACACCTCTGCTTCTCTCAGGAAGTTTACTTCAGCCAAAGAAGTTTTGAGACTGGCAGTTCTGACACTGAAAACCCTTGTCCTAAGGAATATAGGCAGCTTTTATAATTTTATGGGATTTACCCCATCTAGAGGATTAGTGTGTAAAAGTAAATTGGGAAGCAGCAACCAAAACTTCCAGGAGTTGGCAGCAAGGTTTCGTTTGCTCTTCAAACTGTTTTTGTGTCTTGAGCTGCTCAGTGATGTTACAGGGCTCATCTTTGTCTTGTGGACCAGTGTCATGGCCATTAATCATTCAGTGTTTGCTCAGGGTACTGGACTTGCCTTCAGCGTGCAGTTTCCAGCTGGAAACACAAATGCATTCTGATGAAATCCTGCCCTGTTTGTTCCTTGACTCCTTCAATCAGGTTTGGGCAGCTGTGCTACAGTGAAGTGTTTGTTAAAAAAGAATGATCAAAAATAGCACTCACTGGTCTACCACAACCTATTGCTCTTCTCTCTTGTACTTTTGCCTCTTACAGACTGTCAAGACTCCAGCATATTTTACTCTCCTTTAGAAAGAGCTGCTGGTTTTACAAACCTCAGTTATTGCAGAGCACTTTCCCATTCCCTAAATCAACCCTCTCCCAGGGCCTGCTCTGCTCACTCCTTGAGCTGCCATTTCCTGCCATTCCCCACAGCTCCCAGCATGTTCTGAGGTACAGAAAGATCTTATTCCCTTTGCTTAATATTCCTCACCTAATAGTCATTCTCCACCATAGGTCAATCGTGTCCAATTAACTTGGCTGTGGAGCTGGGGGAGAACTCCCTGAAATACTGCAGGAACCAATGGCAATGTTTCTGTAGCAGATTAGCAGGGAACAGGCAATCTCCCAGAGAACCAGGCTGAGCCATAAACCTCTTTAAAGACATTATGAGACACTATTAAAAGTTAAATCTGGTCCACAGAGACGCTTAACAGCAGAGCCAACCAGCAGCCTAACCCATCCAAAGGATCATTTGAGGAAGCTGAAGCCACGGTTCAGTGGAGGGAGGTGGAGAGGGATGGCTGAGAGGGCAGTTCATCAAAACTCCTGCTGCCTAATGCAGGGGTGCCCTCAGTCCCATGTACCTGTCTAAGGTGGAATGTAAAATGCTGAGCTTTCCTTTTGTAGCCCTTACAAGTGGAATGGGACTTCCTTGCTAAGTTTATATCTCAGCTTTAGGTGAGACTCAAGGCACCATCAGCATAACCTGATTAAACAAGCTATAAGGCATCCTCAGCTACCTTGTTCTGGTCTGCCTAGTCAGGTTCAGTAGTCTTGAATCTCATCTAGGTTTGAAAATTAACAAAGATTAAAGCAGATGTTGGAATATAAGCACCACATTAACTGATCTTGGATGGCTTTATGGATAATCCTGAGCAAGGGATTATCTTAGATGAGACTAAGATACACCCACAGGGTTCTTAGAGATAAGCCTCCAGTCAGGCTTGCTCTGCTGCATTTGAGACAGGGAGAGAAAACAGCTCCCTTCACTGGGAGTACTCGTACAACAACCCACCCATCTGAAACAATACTGTATTTTAACCACTTTAACCATTTGCTATCAAAATGGTCTGGTTAGGCTTAAAACTGCTATTTTGCAGTGTGTCACATTGCCTCAGGCAGTTCTGTGGTGTCCCTGAGAGCAGGGTCATTGCTGGTGGCAGAGGGACAGCGACACACTTGTTGCAGTCAGTGTTTGACCAGAGAAGCTCAGAAAGGTTTGGGCTGGAAGGGACCTTAAAGCTCATCTCATTCCAACCCCTGCCATGGGCAGGGACAGTTTTCATTAAGCCTTGTTGCTCCAAGCCCCATCATACTCCCTGTTACTCTCTTCTTTCATCTGAACTGTCTGTCATGATCCCTAAAAAATCAGTAGTGCATGGTTCAGCCGAGAGCAGACAGCTCTCATTGATAAAAGCTCTTTTGGTGATTTAGCAGATGGAATTCTGCCCCCAGTGAAGGCAGTGGGAGAGCTGCCATCAGCTCCAGCACAGGCTGGACATGGCCCAGTGCTGGAGGTCATTTGAATCTGGCTGAGTGAGGAGGTGATTTACGGAGCTGAGAGGAATCAGAGCGAGCTGCCCGCAGTCCTGCTCTTCACAGCAGGACTCAAAGTGACCACAATCACTTTCCCCACAGACACATCCAAAATAGGTTTAAAAACAACAAAAAAATTCAGTGTATTTCTCCACAAGGGGAGTGTGTGTGTCCTGCAGAGCCAGGCTTTCCTGCCAGAGAGCTGGGAGCTGTGTCCTGCTCTACAGAGGGCCAGGCTTGAAGTGTCAGGGTTTGCATTAATTATTACCTGCCAGGATATATTTTGGATCTCCCCTAAGCCAGTCTGCGAGATCAACAGCTAAATGTAGCTTATAAATTATTCTTCAGCTAGGTTTTTTGACAGAGTTTACCATTTTCCATAGTCTATTAAATAAACAGATAAAGGGGAACAAAGATTCTTTTGAATAAATTTTGCTGTGTGGAGTAGAAAATAAACCCAAACTTCCATATTTTATCCTTCCCTCTGAAAAGACTGTGATAAAAAACACAATTAGCAGGTATTGTCTTTCAGCACAGTTACTCTTAGATTACAAAAGCAATGAGCACATATTAAATTTCTCAGCTTGTAAGAACTGCTGTAAATATTTATCGCTTTCATTGCACAAGGGAACAGCTTCAGTCATTTCAAGACCCAAACCAGTTTCTTAGGAACAGAGGTTATATAAAAGCCAAGGAAAGCAAAACCCAAAGGAACAGGCTAAATGAAATTGTTCCAGTGGCTTATATCAGCCCTGCTGCAGAGAAGATAAAATAATTTTGATGTAATTGCATTTTTCAGCCTTACCATCCGTACTTCAGTTTACCTGGGTTGACTTCCGTGGAGCTGCTCTTTTTTGGCTTGCAAATTATTCCCATAAAGCCTTCAAGATTTCCATGTGGCCTTGTCCAGCCATAGTAGAAAATAAAGAAAATTGATTTGGAAAGCTTTGTGAAGAAGCATCATGCAGTTTACCCGCAGACCTGCCCTTCTTTTATTTTTTTTTTTTTTCCCAAGAGCAGGAATACAAATGATCCAAAATTAGCAATTGCTGTGATTATATAGATCTGAGTCTGGATGATAATCGTTTGAGTCCCACACATTCCATCTGTTCAATTAATAACAGAGTTTCATATTAAGATACAGCAGAGCTGGGGTTTTACCTTCAATTTCCTTCACTGTTCCAAACCAAACCCATTTTTCTGTCATTTCTCATTTAGGTTTTTGCACTGAATATGCAAAGCCAGTTGTTCTCTTCTCAACTCTTTACCCACTGTGAATAAACCACTTCCCAAATAACAAGTCTTGCTAGAGTCATCCCTAAAATGAATTTCAGAAAGGGATGGGCAGAAAAGGGGAGAAGGATCCCTTTATTATCCAGAGAAATACAGCAGTATCTTTGTCTAATCCAAGTCTTTTCTGACAGAAATCAATACAAAGGATGAGAAATCAAGATGAGGTTTTTATTACCAGAGATGGCCTCCAGAATCACAGGGGAGAGCCTCATGCATGGGCTCTGCTGTGATGTGCCTCATGCCCTCGAGCTGTAACAAATTACTCCATGAATTTCTTGCAGGATTTATCCGCCACTGCTTGGAGCTCTGGGGAGCATTTCATCAGTGGCATCACTGACCTAATAACAGGGGATCTAAGTAATAGCAACTTTTATGGGGGCTATGTGTTATTCCCACAGATTTGGGGATTGGCTTTCGGGAGGGAGGAGGCGGCGAGGGGTAAATGTGCTTTCATAATAGGTTTACACTTTACTGATTAGCTTTGAATGATCTTCTTGCTCTGCCTGCTGACTTGAGTACTGGCAGAAAAGGAATTGGCCAAGCTTCATGGTGAGTGAATGAGACTCCTCCCGAAGCAGGGGGGGTTCCTGTGCTTTATTTATTCATTTTGAACATTCCTGACAGCCAGCCCAGGCTTTGATGCAGAGGAAAAGAGAAAGAAATAGGAAGTGATGGTGTTATGTTTCCCTTCTTTCCCCAGCCTGTTTTGTGGAGCTGAGTTTACTGCCAATACTCCTGTTCCTGGGGCTCCCTGGGCAGCAGGAGATGGGGAAGGGGGAGGCAGGAGAGAGATGAATGGAGAGAGAAGTTTTTGCATTGAGTCCCCACAGAACAGGGGAGGCGTTCATTCATGTCAGGCACTGCCAGTATCACGTTTCACCACCCTCCACTCTGCTTTTTCTGGAGTCCGTGGTGGAGCTGCCAGGCAATCCCTCAGCAGTGAAGCCTGGCCAGCAGGACAGAGAGGGATGGCACCTCAGCAGTGCCAGCAGCAGCACCAGCAGCAGCACCCCCTCCGCTCTGGTT